CCCCAAAACCCCAAAACCCCATTCAGCAAAATTTACCTATTATTATTAGCGTTAAAGTTATTTTAATTATGAAAAATTTAAATGTTGTTCAAAAATGTTTTTGGATTCTATTCTTAATAAATTTTGTTTTTGCAATAAGAACAGAGTTAGAATGAAATCTAGCTACAACGAAAATGACTGATGTTAGAACTTGCTTCACAAATTGTCTCAATAACCAAGAAAATAAATTTTGCCCCTCTCCTGATTTTACAAGTGGGAATTGCTGCTTATAAAATGAATCTTGTGCAATAAATTATCTATGCTCAAATTTAGCCTCAAATGCAAGCAGCTAAAGATATTTTACTTGCCCAATAAATACATGATGCGGAAATGCTGGTTCGAAATATCTAGATATTAAAAATGAAACTGGAATTTCAATATCAAATAATAGAACTATTGGTATTTTAACAACAGGAGACGTTTGTAGTTATTAGATATATTCAACATAGTTTAAGCTGAACGATCAGATCATCTTGAGATTTAGCAGACTTACGGGTGCAAATGTATTTTTATACAGTGGGGGATTCGGGTTCGATACATCATAGACTTAAACTAGGTTAGTTCTGGGGAAGAATTACTCTATCCCAGCTGATTAAAGAATGTATGTTGTGATTGTTCCTCAAACAGGAGTAAACGCTGATTTTACTTTGATATCAAGCTTGAATATTTCTCAGATTCAATACAATAATTCTGTTAGTGATGCTTCTACCTCAAATAACATTACAGCAATTTCAAAGATTACTTCATCAAATGAGATAACCATAAGTATACTGGTAATCATTATAGTTGGTAGTGTAATAGGCTGTTTTATTTTTGCTGCTATCATTGTTATCAGTGTTTATAGATACAAAAGAAAGAATTTAATCCTTTCTAACAAATTGTCAAGTGAAGAGGTGTAAAATCAAAATTATTTTCAAAGAAAAAAGACTAAACTAGAGTTTGAAGTTTATCATTAGACTAATCCTAATTTAAACAATGGGAACATTCTAGATGATATATAAAATTCTACCCCCAGAAGATTGAATTCTGAGATAGAGAGAACTATAAAAGAGGAGTAGAAGGCAGGAACCAAAAATATCAGGCAAGAAAATGTTTTACAAAATATGAAAAAGAAATAAAAGCAAAAAACTTATAATAAACTAAGCAGCAGAGGTTCATAAGACTCTGATAGTCTTTAATCTGAAAGTTCTTTAGCATTAAAACGTGGGTAGAGTGATATTAATAACCTTAAAAGCAAAAAGCAAGTTAGATTAAATTAAGTATAACCATAGTAAGAATAACAGATTGATTAAGAAGGACCAGATTTGGAAGTAGATTAAATGAGGAAAAATCTAAGAAATCAAGAATAAGAATATTAATAATTTTGGCTTAGCTAGTAATAAAGTGCAAATGAATTTCATAACGATCTATTGCAAAATAATGGCGCTAGTGAAGGAAAGAGATTAGACAAAGTTAAAAATGATTCCAATAAGGGAAGTTAAAAGAAAACAAACAAAAATATGATGCTTCCACCATTAAGACCAAGGTAAAATCAGATCATACCTTCCCTCTAAGCTGATTATCAACCTGATTTTGGGGTATAAGATGATGAATTAAATCAAGTAGGAAGAGGAAATAAATCAAAAAAGAAGGGTAAAAAAGTAAAGAAAAAGATTAATCCTCAAGATTCAATAGATAAGGAACAATTTCTTTGATTAAATGTTGGCTACTATGTTTAAATTACTGATTAATTTTCAGATTATTACTTGCTGAATAATTGATGTTAATTTTTGAGTGCTAATTTAAGCTAGTGATGTTAATTAAACTTAATTTCTTTAATCAGAATAGTTTAAAATGAAAGTTAAACATTAATCAAATGTCTTTCATGCACTAACAATTATTCTTATAGTCAAAATAAGTTAGGTGACTGCCTATACCTTCATTACTAGCTCATTAACATGCAGAACATCATGCCTTGATCAATCTAAGATATTTTGTCCGACAATAGACAAGAAAGGTGGGTATTGCTGTGATTTAGGAGAAAAGTGTCCAAATCCCTTTGGTTTCTGTTCAAATAACATGTAGGGAATTCCAGCAATGCAATAATTTTTATGCCCATTTGAGACATTTTGCGGTCCTACTACTTACATTATAGATTCAACAACTACCTAACAAACTTTATCAGTGAATAACAGATTATTTGTTAATAAAGCAGGCTGCTAATATATTTTCTAGCCTCCATCTAATGCATTGACTGGAGATTATATATAAGTTAGATTAGAATAGTTGGTAAATGCCTAAGTACTAATAAATCAAAGCCAAAACTTAACTAGTTTCGGCACTTAGTATCTTTTATCAATAGGAAACTGGGTTAGTATATACCTTCCAAATAAAATCTATATGACTGCATCTGGAACTAGCACTGTTGCAGGGTAGTTCGCACTTAGTTACTAATTTGTAAAAAAAGGGACATTAAACAATGGAACTAATGCCACAAGTTTATAGTTTAGCAGTAGTTCAGGTTAATCTAATGATAATACTTTACTATTTATTTTCATCGCTGTTGGTTTGATTGCCATACTCATAATTGTAGTGATAGTTTTGATATATGTATTTAGAAGAGTAAAAAATAAAAAAGTCACACCTAATCTAGTAATTGAGGAGCTAAAATAGCTTTAAGAGAAAGATACGGAAAACAAGGATAATTTAGATTAAGATTAAGGTCCAGACTTGGAAGAGGCTTAAATGCTTGATGAGTATTATAACAGAACAATAAACATAACTAACACAAATAAAAATGAAACTCCAAAATAACTAAAAAAACAATTTTTCCAAAGTGATATCGAGGATAATGTGAATAACAACATAAATGATACCCTTTCTAAGAATAAACCACCTAAAAATAAGTTGAGTTACAAATCAGACAAAGAAAGTACTACTGTTGGACCTGGCTCTAGAATAATTGCTACTGATACAGAGGGTATGCCATCAGTTACAGGATCTAACAAAAAATAGAACTCTAAGGTATTGATGCTTCCACCGATAATTCAAAAGAAAAGAATAGAAAGGATTAATGAGGAATTAGATTAATCGATTGAGGAACCTAAGCCATCGAATAAATTTTTCAATTTGCCAAAATAAGCGATGGCTAAAACATCTTACGACTCTTCGAAAAAATAATCTATAATGACAATAGATTTATCTAAGATTAAGACGTAAGAGTTAGAGCAGTTATATGAAAAGAAGTTGTAAGGATAACTTGATTTAAGAAATTAAGAAGTGGAATAAAGAAATAAATAAAAAACTAGAAAGCCTTCTAAAGATTCACGAGAATCTAGAGAGAAAAATCACCCAATCAATAATGATTAATAAGAATTTGAACCAGAATCTGATTATGACTATGCTAAAGAAACACAAAAATTTAGATAGACTTTCCAAGGTCAATCATTTAAAGATATGAAGCCAACTCAAATAAATGAAAGATCCCAGAGTAGATCATCCAAAAGAAGCACTTTACAGATGCCAAGACAGTATGAACTTGATGATTTGCAGTTATTTAATAAAAATTCGCAATAGTTGATTAGTTAAAACACCCAAGAGAATTTTTTTAAACCACTTGGTTAGACTCGACTACCAGCAGCTACTATGTCTAAAACCTAGTAAGGCTTTAATCAAGTACTGAAGTAAAAGAGAATAAATGACGCTTAGAGGAATTTTATAGGGTATATGGGAGATGTAGTAGATCACGGAGAAGTTGAGGAGATTTCATAGTTTACCAGTAAATCCAAAAAGAAGAAGAAGAAAAAGAAGAAGGCTGTGAAAAAGTAAAACTTAGTCACAGAGGAATTAGACGACGATGACTGATATTTAAAAAATTTTAGATTTTTTGCTCTGAACTATAATTAATCTATCCTTAATTTCATAACTTCACTTAGTCACAAATTTAAGACATAAGGGGTTTTGGGGTTTTGGGG